TGAGACCAAAGTTAAGGTTTTCACATGCAACACACAAAGAAGGAGGGAAACTAAAACTTTCCACTTGAATGCCATCTATGCAGGAACATTCAGCATTGGCAGCATGTTTCTTTAGGAGACACAGAGAAGGTGATGAAAGGATGGATGGAGCTAAATGCAGGATAGTCCTGAAAGAAAACCTGTTAGAATCGGTATAAGATTAAAGACATGCTCAGAGGTTTACCTTCCAACAGAACAACAATGCTAAACATACGACAAAAGCAACAGTGAACATTTTAGATGCAAGCACAAAGCATATTTATTATATGTTGATATGAGCAAGTAAAAAAAAAAAATGATTCCAAGTCCAGACTTAAACTAAACGTATTTGAGAATTTCTGACTAGACATATAAAAACCTATTTTAATGTACATCCACCACACAATCATCCAGTCTTATGACTATTTTGAATAACATTCTTCAAAATGTATACTAAAGTAGTCTTAAATATATCCTGAATTTCCATAGAAAGTTTTAATATATATACTTAGTTGCCTTTTTGAATTTGGATACCCATTTCTTCATTAATCGTTTTTAACTATATGTTTGATAAAAATAAAATAAAATTGTACTTTTAATTTGCTATCATCTCAGTCATTGTGAAAAAGGGTTTAATTACATGTTTAGATTAATAACTGGAATTGAATTAATTGGTTAAATACAACTTGCCATCAGAAATTATTAAAAAGATGTGAAAAGAAGACAGATTTCATCAACCTGCATGTACAAGTATTGGATTCATGTAACACGTTTAAATAAAAATAAAAACATGTACTATACTTATACCACAAGGAAATTAAAACATATTTAACTTCCTTATGGTATAGCCTTATTTTCACCTTCTATGTTGTCTAGAATCCAAAAGTTTATTTTCGTGTAAATTTTTTAAATTCCACTTTCTAAAAAGTATTACTGTAGATAGCTTAAATGAAAAAACAGAAATTACAGCCTCTGCACATGCAGATATATGAGGTACTGATTAAACCAGGCTAAATACGAATACACTTCACACATTTCAGATTTTTATTTGCGCCAAAAAATAGAAAACCTGTAGTTTTCATCACTTTTATGGCATCTAGAATCAGACATGTTATGCTTAGTTCCATACATTTTTTTTTTACAAAACTATTGATGGATGTAACATGCAAAATGTGAGAAAGCTGCAGGGTAAGAACATGTTTTCATGGCTTTTGTCAGGTAGAGTAAGGTTTATGCTACGCCATATTCTTACTTAAAAAAGAATATATATTCTTCTTAATTGTACATGTAGGTTGTCTTCAAAAGGCAAATGTAGCTTTGGTTTCCTTTTAATATAAACTTGGTTAATATTTTCCCTCTTTTATTTCCTGTTATGTTGAATCTCTCCATATAAGTGATGCCACAACATGTTTGACCAACAGTTAACGATAGTTTACTCTCTGTTGTAAAAAACAAATAAGCCGCCTGTGTGAACTGTTTGATGTCACTTCTCAGCTGCGAGGAAATAAATCTGCACATGCAACAGCTGTCTGCTCCATTTGACTGGAAATCATTGCCATACAAAGGCGACTCGTTTGCAGAAGTAGATTCAGAATAAATGGAAACAATAAACTTTCCATTTACTGTTGATTATCCAAATGTTAAACATTAAACCAAAGAGCGTTGTTTTGTTTTGTTGTAGATTTTAATTTCCATATGTGACTTAATCCTTTTCTGCTTTTTCATGTGTGAACATGAGAAGCTTCAGTGAAATACTGATTAATGTTCTCCTCTTTCTCATTAAAACTAACGATCCATCTGGTGTTCTCCAGGTTCAACATGGACATCAGACACATCAAAATCACCTCCTGTGAGGGCCTGTACCGCATCAATGACAAGAAGGCATTTAGAGGTTTAATTGTGAGTTTTAAGCAGGAGAGCCATTCCTATGCTTGGGATTTCCAACATGCATGATGTTGAAAATACCAAAATGCATGATGTCTCTTTTTATTAACTATTTTATACATTATTCAGCTTTTCTTTTTACCATCTTTATTAGGAAATGGTTGAGTTCTACCAGAAGAATTCTCTGAAAGAATACTTCAAGGACGTGGACACAACGCTGCGCATCCCTTATAAGCAGCCGGAGCAAAGCAATTCATCTAACAACACAGCAAACACAGTCGCAGGTACAGAAGCCTTCCTGTGATCGCAATAAAGTGCAGGCAGGTATTTTCAGGAACTATTCATGTTTACAGTTTTATGCTAATTCGACGAAGAGAGCGAAGACCACAGCTGTCAAATTCTGTCAAAATTAGATGTTTTCAGTCCATTTCCAGTTAATTACATTTAAATAGACTTTGCTTTACAATCTTACAATGAGTTGGTTTTTTAAGTATTAAACTTAAAAAGTACTAAACTTAAAAAAATAATGTTATGGTTGCTAATCTAAATTGGTATGTTTTAGATTAGAGATTATCCAAAGGTGGACTGATTCCAGTTATAAGAAAAAAACTCAGAAAGCTATACCTGTGTTTCTCATCTTTGGAATATATTTGCTTAATGAATAAAAGTGAATGCAACAGAGCATTACAGTTTTGCAGCCTTAATAGGTATTGATGCAATTTATTGTTTGTTCAAATCCTTGTAATAAACTAGTCTAGCCATATAAAGTTTTCCTTTTGGTTGTTATACACACCTCTATGTACAGATAATCCATACTTGAGTTTCACATTTACAATATTATTTGTTTAAATAAATCAACATATTAGAGTTTAGTAGAATGAAAGAACAATATTTCTTAGTCCCAAAGTTTAACATTTTAGGTGTTTTAAGCTTTTTTTATTTTTCATTTTAATGTATTTTAAAGCATCCTGACACTAAATGGTGAGCTCTGTCTCCAGGAGGCAGCATAAGGAGCTTTGGCTTAGCGAGGGCCAGATATGACTTCTCAGCCAGGGACCGCTCTGAGCTGTCCCTGCGAGAGGGGGACACCATAAAGATCCTCTCCAAGAGGGGCCACAGCGGCTGGTGGAAGGGAGAAGTCTATGGCCGGGTGAGATTAACAGGATATCCACACATGACAGAAAATGTCCTAAGACATTTAGTTTTACCTGTGTTTTCCTCTTCTTGCAGGTGGGGTTATTTCCATCCAACTATGTGGAGGAGGATTACTCTGATTACTGCTGACTTCCACCTATATGAGATGTGTCAACCCGATCTGAATGTGAAAGGATCTTTGTGAGCGACTGCATTAAGGCCTCTGCATGAGTGTGATGTTGTGTGAGTGAAAGGAAATGTAGTTCTGCTGCTGGGTGTCAAGTGATGTGAATAAAAACTTTGTTCAGCTGGCCTGACCTGTCTTATTCATTACGTTTAAATTTTGTACAACCCTACCTTGACAATCAATGTATACAGGTTTTAACAAATGTTATTTAGCATCACTAGAGTATTATGGGATATATATTATGTAATAGTAGCTTTAGGTATTTGGTTGTAGGTCGGTTATGGGTGGAATACAAGTTTTAAAGTTCATAGCACTTTGCAAAATTTTTCACTCTCCTTGATGCTTTATACATTGCTATTACATCTAAAAGCTGTCATGTAGTTACAGACCAACCCTAAGTATAAACCATGAGGTACATTTGCATTTTTTATATAATTGATATTTGGCAAAAAAAGAAAAAAAAACTGGTTCTCTTCACCTCACTTCATGAGGTTCAGGTCTACACCCACTGATCTCTATTCACTGGATTGCTGGTTGTCTGCAATGCTGCTACTCCCCACTCCCACTCCCACACGCAGTAAAAATGCCTACATCTGTAGCATTTGGCTGCAAAAACGCACAGTTTGTCGGCTGTGGGAAGACGTACCACAGGTAGTTTCACAGTCAGTGGTTGTACTAACCAATAAAATCAACATACACGCCAATATATCCTATAGTATAGTATATAAGGTAACATTAGTCTGGCTATCTTGGACTGACTCGAAGATAATGACTAAATTAGATATTGACATTGTGTCTAACGTAAGAAAATAGAAAGTAGTTCACTGTGAAATGTCAATTAAGTAATTCTTTTTGTAGTGTTTGTTGTACTTCTCAAAAAAGTCATGTGCTGAAATATATTGCATTTTATATTGACGGGGGAAAAAAAGCTACTCAAACATTTCACCCCTATATATGTGTGTGTGTATATATATATATATATATATATATACACTGTTATGTAATAAAGCTGCTATTACCATCAATTTCCTAAACAGCACTTTACAACTGTATTTTTTTTTTTTTTTTCATTCAGGTTCTTTGTTTTCTTGGTTTTTCCTTTGTGTTCATCCTTCCATCCAACCCAGAGATTTTTTTTTTTCCTTTGTCATTTTTCTCACATTCTTTCCTGCTTTCAGTTTTTCATGAGAAACATCCATACACTTGTCCTAAATTGATGATGTACATGTAGTATACATTTATTTACTTCTTACATGTCTGATAATGCATGATGTGTGTGTGTATATATATATATATATATATATATATATATATACACACACACACACACACACACACACATATATATATATATATATACACACACACATCATGCATTATCAGACATGTAAGAAGTAAATAAATGTATACTACATGTACATCATCAATTTAGGACAAGTGTATGGATGTTTCTCATGAAAAACTGAAAGCAGGAAAGAATGTGAGAAAATGTGAGAAAAATGACAAAGGAAAAAAAAATCTAAATATAAACCAACATTAGAGCAGTTATTTAGAAAGTGAATGTCATTCTCCTTTGTACTGTTGATTAATACAGAGTAATACAGAAGAACCCTGTTGATTAAGACCTCTATTTGTTTAACTTTGCATTTTTGAACACTTAGAAAAAGTTAAAGCCATATTTTCCTTTACCATTAATTTTCATCATTGAAATGAAATGTTAATTAAAATAAAAGAAACACTGGATTAGGAAGAGTGACACAAACATTTCAATTTAAGCATTTTTTGTTGAGTATAAACCACATTTATTTACAAAATATCAAAACAAATGAAACGTGATGGGAACAACATATCTTTCACTGAAGGGATTACACTCAGACATATAGGACATTGTGTTTTCCCGTTGTAGATGGCGCCCCCTTTCAGCTGCATTGTGTACAAGCATGTGGTCCTCATCCTTTACATCTACTGGTAATACAACTCCAGGTTCATTCCATCGTGGATTTCATCTGAAGAAGCAGCAGTTAAGAAAAACAGTCCCATTGTAACTGCACAAGTATAAAATACCTATCGATATATATAGGGCCCATCTCACACATTTTTGATTTTTGGCTTTTAATGGTTCATAGAAAAAAAACATACTATTCAGAAAAACAGACTAACACAAAATGCTGTTTTCAAATGCTGACTGTATTTAATAAGGGAAGAGGGCAATTTAAACCAACTAGGGCTAATGTAAAAAATATATTGCTCTTTGAACCCACCCAAACTAGATTTTAATTAAAAGCAGCCATTTATAAAATAAACTCCAAAACCTTCATTTCAAGATTTAACCAGCACCTTTCCAATTGCGAATTATCTACAGTTAATTAAAGTCTGTTTCACATTACCAGATTATTGTGCTGATTTTCCCTTAATCATTCCCTTCTAAGAAGCCTCAATTGTTGGGAAGCCTCTAAAGATAATCTTACGAGATAATCCTGCCATGCGTGAGGTGTTAAGAGTGTTCAGGTCTGATAAGGTGGAGAGACATTAAGACCATTTCTGTTTTATCCACCTTCTAGCACAGGACCTTCCTTAACCCTGGTCCTCAGGTCCCACTGTCTTTAATATTTAAGATGTTTCAAATGATCGCATTACCTCCTTAGCAGCCATCAATACTGCAAAAAGCCTGTTGATCACCTTTACATTCAGTTCAGGTGAGTGGAGGCAGGGAAACACCTATAACATGAAGAGCAGTGGGCCCTGATGACAAACAAAAAAAAAAATGGTAGGATAGAAATGGCTAGAATATCTGGCCAGAACAATCCAACATATTCAGATTCAATTTTGAACAACATGGTCCCCACAGTTGTTTGAATCTGTTAAAGTTAAAATGGTTGTCTAATCAGCTACTAACAGCCAAAAACAGCAAAGAACAGTTAAAGGATACAGTCTCCAAGAGTCACATGGTCCTTAAATATGGTATACCTTTAAAAAGAAAAATAAATTAGTTTTTTTTTTCTTGCAGCAAACATGAGACGAAGTAAGATGAAGTGTTTCGAGTGGGTAGCTTACCATTTTTTCAAAACAATCTTGTCATACCGTGTTCCTGTCTGAGCCGCAATTAGCTTCTTCAGATCTCCGATGGTGTCCTCTGAGCTGAGTATGGGAATTAAGGAGCAGCACAGTAGCACTTCTACACAAGATGCTTCTATGAGCCAACAAAACCCTGATATACAGATCCAAGTCCGATTTGGTTAAATTATCCATTCTCAAAAAAATATATATATATATATCAATATATATATATATATCAATGCTAGGAACTGATTATGATCTAAAAAATGAAGGCTTATTGGTTCAATTATTGAAAGCTATGATGAAGTGTTTAATGACCCAGGCATATTTTTGGTGCTACAAATTTCAATTCAACTTTAACAAGTTAGACTGGTGAAAACAACATTATGTAAAATTAATCTATTAAAAATCTTCTTTTAACATCCAATACAGGGCTTCAAGATAAATGAAAATTTGTGATAATGATAGTATCAATAGGTGTTAAAAATTAAATTCCAAACTTTTTCTCAAATCGAGTATTCCAGTGTTCCCGTCACCCTCTCTAATGCTCAAACTTTTGGGCACCTTATGAGAAATTTAACAAAGATAAATACATCATCAAGCCTGGTGCAACTTTAAAACGTGTTTTGGGTTCATTCAAATAGCACTGAAGTAATAATACAATTACATTAACCTACACCTCTGACAAAAGGTTCCTAAATGAAGATTCATTTACAGTATTTAGACCAAGTGAAACTAAAACATTTTCACTTAAGGAGTTCTTAATAGAACATAATAATGGATGAAATGGTTTTTTTTTTATCTTAAATGTAATATGTTTATATAATTTATACAGTTTTATAATTTCTGCTTTTAGTAAGTTGCTCTGTCAGCTAAAGCCATGTTTTGGATCTCTTTACTCCATTTAATGATCAATAGATTCATGAATTATTTGACGATTATTTAAATCAATTAATCACAATTAATCCAATTAATTGTTTCAATCCTAGTTGTATTCACATGTATTTGCATTTAGTTTAGTGTTTTCTTGAAAAAGAATGATCTCCAAGTAGTTTAGAGCTCTATATGTCAAACTTGACTTGAATAACATTAGGCTTAATTATCGTTATTCTTAACTTGTTTTAAACCAAAATTGAAGAGACAAACCTCCAGTCTAAGTTTAAATGAGTCTTCTTTATGATATACAAACAATTTTGCATCAGAATCAACTGAATGTCAGGTGACTAAAGAACAAACAGTAGATATTGTTGCTAGAAGTAATTTATACTGTTATAACAAGCATACATCACTGTCATTATATATTTTTTTCCGTAAAAGTTTAAAAACAATCCACTGGACTTTCCCAGGTTTGAAGACGTTTCGCTTCCCCTCCAGGAAGCTTTCTCAATTCAAAATGTCTGCATTCACATGAGTTTGAGGCATTATATAGAAAAGGCCTTGTATTGCTTGGAAACATGCCAATTGAAACTGATGAGTGGGTCGTTTGCTCATTATATATTATGCATTCACTGTCTCTATTATGTTTTAGTACAAGTACTACCACATCAGTGCTTCTGTTTGTTTTTTCTTCTTTCCCTTGTTGATGTTTTAAAAGTGAGAAGTCCCTATCTAATATCACCACTTATTCAAGAAGACATGCTACTATAATGTTAGTGATTTTAGGCTGGGTAACCATACACAGAAAACATGTCACTTACTACCAATACGAGGCTAATATTGGCCAGAAGGTATGCATGAATTAAATTCATAGAATTAAATTGGTGTGATGATGCATCTCTCAATATTAACTGCAATCAGTTACCTGGTCAAATGTATTGAAATGGCAATCTATTGTTCATAGGCCCTCCAAAAATACACAAACTAACAATGGGGGCTGGAAAATATAAACAATAATGTCGCGCAGAGTGAGAAAAACAGATGGACATCCTTTAACATCATAAACAAATAATTTCTGACTGAGGCAGACAAAAAATATAACTTCATTTCTAATTAACGCATTCAATTTGCGTTACTACATTATTAAAGTTGATTACTTACATTAATTGCGACCCTTTCATTCCCTAAGAATCAATGTTGGACTAAAATAATCTCGATGATTTTCCGCCTCGTCAAGATGTAAGAATTAGGTACTGATAGTGGAGAGCAACTTTAGACCAATCTGTTTATCCACTTACACAGGCCCTCTTAACCGGCTCATCCAATGTTAAAATTAAGATGTTTCAATGATCTTTACTCCTAAATCAAATGCAAAAACTGTGATACTTACATCACAGGTGATAGCAGAAAGCACACTAAATCATAAGAGACAGCTATCCCATATGAACAAAAAAAAAAAAATGTATGAAATCTATATCTAACCCAAAACATCAATTCAAGACAACAGGGTTTACAGTTGTTTTGAATTGTTAAAGTTAAATTTCTAAATCATACTAACTGAAAATAGCAAAGAAGTAAAGGATACATTCCCCGAGCCATGGTTAATATTATCTAAAGAAAATACAATCAGCTTTTTTCTGCAGCTAAATAGACGAGATAAATGAGTGTTTCAGCTGGTACTTACCATTTTCTTCAAATAGATTTGTATACGTGCTGTCTGGCCGCATTTGAATTCTTCAACTCGCCTCAACTGATATGGGATAAGAGCAGAAGTAGAAACAGGATAAAAAAAAAATCAATCGATTGTTAAATACCACTCAAAAAAATATATAAAAATAAAAAAAAAAAAGAATAATAAAAAAAGAAAATAGGAAAAAACAAGAATAAGACCAATGTGTACAATCAATTAAACCTAACATATAACTTGAAAACAACATTATGTAAATAATCTATTAAAATTTCTCTTACATCCATACACTTAAGATAATGAAATTTGTGATAAGAGTTCATGGTTCAACAAATAAATTCAAACTTCCAAAAACCATTTCTCACCTCAATTCAAACTTTTATTATGAGAATTTACAGATATAATTTACATCATCAAGCCTGTGCAACTTTAAAGTGTTTTGGGTTCATTAATACACGAGTTATAATAATTACATTACTTACCCTTGACAAAGTACCAAATAATTCATTTACAGTTTTAGACCAAGTAAACTAAAAATTTCACTTAGGATCTTATAAACAAATAAGATGAAATGTTTTATCTAATGTATTTTAATATTTCATACAGGTTTATAATTTGCTTAGTAGTTGCTCTGTCAGAAACCTGTTTGGATTGTTATATTTCATGATCATAGATGGATCATTATTTGACGATATAACTTATCACATAACAATTAATGTTATTCAACTAGTTATCACATGATTTCATTTAGTTTAGTGTATTTCTGAAAGAATGACCGTATTTGCTTCTATTCAAACTGACTTGAATAATAGGCTATGAGTTATCTATTGTTTAAACCAAATTGAAAGACAAACTCAGTTAATTTTAAATGCTTCTTTATGTAACAAACAATTTTGCCAGATACTAATGTCGTACTAAGAACAACAGTAATCATTGCTGATATTATACTTTAACAAATACTGCTGCATTACATATTTTTTCGATAAGTTTAAAACAATCCAATGGACTTTCAGGTTGAAGACTTCGCTTCCTAGAATTTTAATTAAATGTTATACATGAGTTACTTTGAAAGCTTGTAATTGCTTGAAATGAATTAGAACTGATATGGGTACTTTGTCATATATTATCATTCACTGTTCTATATGTTTTGTAGTTACACACAGTTTTACTTCTTTTTACTTTTGTCACCTGTTATGTTTTAAGGACCACAATATCACCATTTTCAAGAGAATACATAATTAGGATTTAGGGGAACCATACACATGAAACATGTCACACTACCATACGAGGCTATATTGGCTATGCTGATTAATCATAATTAAGGATATGATGCATCTCTCAATATTAACTGAATAGTACCGTAAATGTATTGAATGGCATCTTTGTCATGGCGCTAAAATACAAATCTAACAGGCTGAAAATATAACATAGTCTCCAAGTAGAAAAATCAGATGGCATCCTTATTCTCATAACAAATAATTTTGATGAGGAAAAAATATATTGCATTTAATTACGCTTCAATGCGTCAAAGAAGGCTAAAACCCTTGCATTGATTATTCTTGACTTGTGTGCAAGTCGATTCTCGATTGACAGATCCCTGACCTGATTCATTTTTTCGCTTCTTCAATGAAGATTGGTGACTTAGTTAGGCCAACGTTTAACACAAAGTAATTTCATTACACACTTGAGGCTAAATAAAACATAGATTTTTCCGGAAAATCTCTAAATAAAACACAGAAACTGTGTAAGTTAGCTCACAGGCTAACAACAGCGACACTAAATCTATTAAAGAACAGCATTCCATAATAACAAAATAAACACCCAATGTATGATATACTAACCAAAATCCCTTAAGCACATGTTTATTTATTTGAGAGTTAAGTAATTCAAACATACCTTGAAAGTTGCAAAAGAATGAAAAATATTCCTCCGTAGCTGGTATTTTCTGGAACGCTCCCGTCAGGCTTTTGCCGTAAAGCAGATTTAATGACGTTTTCACCTCTGGACCAATGAAATCAAGTAACATTTTTATTGACAGAGATAACTAACCAATGAAAGGAAAGGAAGCCAAACCTAGGGCGGGACATGTACTGAAAACAACGTGTGTCGAAAACAAGTTGCCAACTGTCGTTTTCTGCGCTGAAACTCCTGCCTTGCGTCTCTGCAACATTGAATTCAAATTTGAAAACGTAGCTAAAACAAACATGGCAGACGAAGAGAATTTACCGTCCGGATGGGAGAAAAGAATGAGCCGTAGTTCAGGTAATAAACCATAATCTGAAGTTAAACTACATAGCCAAAAGCCTTAGAGCTTGTATGCAAGTAGGCTTGGGTAGTTAGCTAGCTGCATGTGCATCGTGGTGCATTCATTAATCAAATTAGAAAAAACCCTTTATTCCACAATGATTAGCTAAAAAGCATAGTGGAAATGTCAACCACCAGTTACATTTTTAATATAGGTAGAACTGAACTCTTGGGATGTTTTGTGTTTTAGGAGCTAATTCATTCAGGTCTAGTGCTGCAGGGCCACGCATGACGTCATTCCGTTCAGGGGCTCACGTTTAAGCGCCAGAGACCCAAATTAAATAATCAAACATAAGAAAAATAAGAAAGGGATACCTGGTAGGAAAGTTTCACGATGCCTTGTCCTTACTTTTGTGTGGTATTTTTTTATTTTCGATTGTCCCGAGATCGAACCAAAGTATATAGATGACCACTTCTTGCTATGAATAAATCATAGAAACACATCATAGATGGTTTTCTTTCTGTGTCAGATCGAAATTCTAAACATATCAAAGGTGCAATGTAACCAGAATTCTGTTATTGGTAGGTGACTGAAATCGGATTACTTAGAGAAAGACAGTAATTGCAGGTGTGAAAGGTCAAGCTAAAATGCAGGTTTTAATCTGCCAGTAAGGACAGATGTTTATGAAATGGGCTCTTCTTCTTTCTGACTAAATTAGTTGACAATTATTTTAATAATTTACTAATCCGATTTTATTTTTGGCACTAAATTTGACAAATTAAAAAAAATGTTGGATATTGCTTGATCTCCAGTTTAAGTTACCGATAAAAATGACTTAAAAACTATATCTTTATGACTGTGTTTACTCTTCCAGGCAAAGTGTATTACTTTAATCACATCACCAATGCCAGCCAGTGGGAACGCCCAGTGGGAGACGGCCGTGGAGAACCAGAAAAGGTTGAGCTGAAATCATTTTAATTCTCACTATATGAATTTTAATTTCACATCTAATCTAATTTGGTGACAACCCAATAGGACTGATGATAAATATATTACAACCTTAATGATTCTACTGTTTTAGGCAAGTGCTCATTTGTGATTTTACTCATTGCTCTTGTTGTTCTGTGCCTCTTATTGAGTGGCCTCCAATTGTCTCACTGTGCTCAGCCTTGCTGTTTTTAAAATGCTCTACAAAGAAGGGATTTGGTGTGAAGCAGGCATGTATTATGAATGCAGGGATTAAAGTATTGCAGCCCCAGGCTGGATTTCCGGCTCGTGGCGATTGCCCATGGGTAAAAAAAATTCACTCATATATAAATTGACGCTAAATAAATTTTAAAAAGACAATCGAAAACCCCCTTGCGTTTGTCAGCCAATGGTACCAGAGGAGCGCTCTGAAACTAACAGTATTAGCCAATCAGAAGAAGAAGGGGGTGGGTCTTAGAAAGACGTGTACCTCCTCCTCTCGTTTCTTCCTCAAGTCACTAGATAGATTGTTACAGTGCTGAAGTTCTACATGGAAAGTCACCTTGCGCCGTTTATGCTTATTTACGCATCCAGCGGCAAAAAGGTGCTACGCAAACTGAATTAGACCCTGGTCATCAAGCTGCTGTTCCACGCACACTCCACGTTTCCCGGGAGCTATGGCAACAGCTGATGTACCAGCGTCAATAACTGACCGTGTATGCGAGTTAAAAATAAGGTTTTGTGCTTTCCTCGCCGAACACGACCTCTCTTTCAGACTAGATATAAATGCACTTTTGCCATCTTCTGGCAGTTTTTGGTAAGGGATTTTTATAAGTCAAATTTAGCCTCTGATCCCATGCCCCCACACTCTCCTGGCATGGCTTGAAAATAAACGCACATATATGAGTTTCTTGGCTGTGTTGGAAAAAGTTCAGGTTCAGGAATTTTTTTTTCTTTAATCCCTGGGAATGTATGTGCATCCTTACAGAAAATAATCACTAGAGGCCTGTCAGCTGAGAGATGTAATGTTGCATGTTCTGAAGTAGTGACACTATGACAGAACAGAAAAGACGCCCAGCTATCCCTAAACTCCGCTACTTGAGTGGATTAAGAAAGTAGGAAAGAACTAAAACTTTCCTCAGTCCATATTCTGCAGATTGTACCTTCTAGTATGTGCTCCTAGCTCCTCTTCCTTCACCTTTTGATCAGGTTAGCCTTATGGTTGTCATTACCAGATTGAAACGCACATGGATGATGTTGGTCAAATTGAGACTAAAGCTTTCTAAAAAAAGAACTGCAAAAAATGTTTATTTTTGTTGCTAAACTATGTTTATTGACATCGTGTCATGTAGATAATCGTGGCAATCCGTAAAGCTCCTAAGCAGCGATGAAAATCTATGGAGGTCCCTGCTGAATGAACGACTGAGAGGAAACAACCTGCTTCCTTGTCCTGTTTCCTTCTTACTGCCAACACCATTCGAACAACAGGCTTAAGAGTCCATACCAATTTGATAAATTTAGATAGACTCCCTTATGTCTTTATTCCTTCAACTTGATAAATGATGTACATACAGTACATTAAATACAAAATATACAAAATAATAATTTGAATTCAATATAAAAACAGCTCATAAGTATCAACGTAATTTAAAGGGAATGTAGCCGTGCTTTATTCTCTTATTTGGGCACAATATGATCTATGAAAATCTAAACATTACATTGACTGAAGTTTTTTTTTTTCCTGCATAATTTGACTATAAACAAGCATTGGCTATATCTGCTTATACTTTTTTTATTTAATGAAAAAGCTAATCCTACTGAATCTCCCATCGTTTCTGTTTTATCCACCTTCTCCTATTTTAGAACATTATGAATCTAAATAAATTTGTCGGCTTGATACTAAAACTGATTTTATTTAATTTTTTAATGACATGTCACACTGATGTGTCGTTTTGTCTTGAGATTTTCTTTCCCAATTGTAGCAAAATGAGAAGTTTTAATGTGGTCAACCAGCAGCATGTAGTGATAGCAGGGAGTTTCCCTCTCTGTTTTTATTTTTAAAGTTGTTTTACAGAATGCTGAAAACTAGAATAGAAAATCCCTTTGTTGTCCCACATTGGGGAAATGTTGGTGTTAGAGCAACAACTAGGGCTACAACTAATGATTATTTCGATAATAGATAAATCTGTCAATCATTTTTTTGATTAATCGATTAATAACCGGACAGCCAAAGGTTCCTTAAAGAAGATTTTATACAGATTTTCATCCAGTCTCCTGGATACACCAGTCCTCTACAGCCTCCATGCAATATCACTCTGAGCTGCAGTTCTATGAACTCACTCTGGTGAAACTACAATTTTTCAACTTGAGGAGTTCTGGATAGAGAATATTGACAGGATAAAAATAGAAGCATAGGATAAAGTGGGTCGCTCTGTCAGCTGAAGCTGTTTTAGAGTCTCTATACTCCAGTTAACGATTAATCGCTTACTGGATTAGTTGACAATTATTTCAATAATCAATTAATCACGATTAATCTGATTAATTGTTTCAAGCCAGTTTTCAAACACAATATTGTACGTTTTCAGTCTCTAATGTAAAAGGATGAAGGATACCAAACCAACAGAGCTGTATTGTTTTTCACTGGGACACACTTGCATACACTATTGGTAGTGCATCATTTGTCACTTCTACCAAATAGAACCCACTTAGAAGTGTTTTAATAAAAAAAAAATTTGTTTGGTATGTTATGAGCAAGTTATTTGTTCATAACAGGATAAAAACACTCAGACGGAAGCCTGTACTGGATAATTCTACTCCGACCAGTCCTTAAAAGAAAGATTAATATTAGTAAATACAATTTCAACAGTTATATGTTTAGACCTCTGGTAGAAAATTGTGCTACTGTGCCTTTTATGCTCTCTTATCAATAACCATTCTAAAGTTTTTATTCTAGATTTATTTTTGGTCTATTCATGCGTTATGTCTTTTTTTTCCCCATGCAGGTACGCTGCTCTCATCTGTTGGTGAAACATAATCAGTCACGTCGTCCGTCTTCCTGGAGAGAGCAAAATATCACACGTACCAAAGATGAAGCCTTGGACCTCATTCAGAGTAAGTAGGAATTATTAAACATGTAAAACATAATTTTTTTACATAAGAGATTAAAACAAAAAAAAGTAACTATGGAATTCTGTTAATTATAACCTAGATTAGTGGTTTTTAATCATGTCCCTCAGCTGCCATCAAGGGCTTCAGACGTTTGTTATCTGATGAGGGAGTGTTGGCGAAATGGTTAGAGCAGTGAGCTTCTGCTCTGAGAAGGTTTCAAGTACCAGCTTTGATCCCCACAGCCTCCATTCTGGCTTCCTGAGCAAGAACCGTAACCACCGCAATGGAAGCCCACTGCTCTCCAAGGGGATGGGTTAAAATGCAGAGAGTGACTTTCCCCATCGTGGGACAATAGCGGGATTTCCATTTGCACAATCACACTTTTATTCAAATTTGTATATGAAAGGGGGGAAAGCTTTAAATATGTGGGACAGAGCATCCCGAGGAACAGGATCGAAGATCACTGGCCTATAAAATCATGATGACTTGACACTAATCCAGCAGAAACCAATGGTACTCTGCATAAGTAGTCTGTCAATAGAAGCTAATTTATAGGGAAGCAGAAAGTTCGAGTGCTTTTTCTAAACCCATTAATAGGAAGTTGAGTGGAAGGAAAAAGTGTGCAAGAATAAGGTGTACAAGTGACCAAAGTAGCCACATCTTTGAAGAGACAGTAGCTACGTTTACATGCGCAAAATTTCCCCGATCCGATCCAAACCTTGGTTGATCGGAAATTCAAAATCTCCGTTTACATGGACACTAAATGAAATGATCCGATCATGACGTGTGTATACATGTACCAAGCGTTGGATCAGATTAAATCTTTTAAGCATGCGCAGAACTTCCTGCCAAACTTGGCAGTTCTGTCTGCGTCTGGTTTTTGGGAGGCCTGACAAACGATGCGCTCGGAGCGAGCGGAAAGAAAAAAGGAGAGAGGAGGAAAAAAGCGTTTGGCAGCGAAATGTCCGAGAGAAAATGTAGAGAATGAGCGATTGAACCGGCGTGGGAGAGCGAGTGGGCTGTGGAGAGAGAAAAGAGGAAGAGGAGGAGGATAAATTCCTGCTTCCTGCAGCTTTAAATTAACTTATAAGTCGGCGTTCCTAGACTCCCCCCGCCATGTTGTTCACAGCGAGAGCGACCGGTGGTTTCCTGTTGTTGACAAGGCGGAAAACGTCACGCTGACGTCGCACACATGCGCAGTGAAGATTATTTTACTCTTTAGATCCGAATGGGTGTTTACATGGACGCCAATCGGAATGGCGATCGGCAAAAACCACCTCTCTCATTCGGAATTAAATTTAGATCCGATCGGACCGAATCGGATTAGAATCTTCAGTCTGACATGTTTACATGAAACATTTTTGATCTGATCAGGCCTTCAATCCGATTAGTTGTGTCCATGTAAACGTAGCTATTGAAGCAAAGAATTAAAAGGTGATTTACAAGAAAATTTGAAAGACCTGGGCCCTTTAGACCGATTTGGACTCAGGAAAACTATACACAGACAACCAGTAGTAGGAAACAACCCTTCAGGAAAAAAGAAATTGCATCAGAAGCTTCTTGGCTTTAAGGACAAAAAAGAACCATATTTTTCCCCTGTAGTTTGACGTCCTCATTTCAGTTAAAGTAAAGTTTAGAACTTATTTCGAAATAAGGCTCCCAGATTCTAAAAGAATTAGTTGAGCAGCAAAGAATCCAAATTGCTTGAAGTGCTGTGTAGGCCTTCATAGTGAACTCAGCCAGCTATCTGGGAATTTCAAATCCAAATATGCTTCCCTCTGTTCAGCTTTAGCTTTAGGAAGTTATTGATTTCATTTCCCATCAGCTGCTCACACTAAAGCCTCTCTCCCACTGAAAATACCACGTAAACATGGATTGACCTGCTAACACTTGGCTCCCTTTTCCAGTTGCAAAAAAAGCTGGGTCTAACCCCTTGCTGGCAGCTGAGTGGCCTGTGTCCCCCCACAGCTGCATGTCTGGTGTCAGCATCGCGCTGGTTTAGCATTACTGATGTCACCAGTGTGACAGAAATCAAAAAAGTAAACAATGGACAGCAACATGTAAGGAAGCCAGAGCATAATAAGTGTGCTTTATTGTTTTGCTCTTTTGTCTGTCCAAATCCCTCTTAATAGTGCTGCTCCATGTTTATCGAATGTAAACAGAGTTGTTTCGGTTTGCTAGATCTTGACGTGGCTGACGCAGTGTGTAAACATCCATACGTTGTGTTCAATGGTGTCACGTCATTTAGCGGATCAAATGTTCTTACCGCATGCCAATCAGAGCCGAGGAGGTTTTAACGTGGGTCATTTAACCTGGGTAGACAACCGTCAGGAGCTGTTCCTACTGCAACTAAAAGCTGATTATTTTTTTTTCTTTGATTTAAACGTTTTTTTTTTCGGCCAGTGAGAAAGGGGTTTAACACAAAAATCATTACCTCATTACCATGGTAACACTGAGTGAAGTCAACTGTCTGTCTGACACCTGTCTGACACAAAGGAGCCCTGACCAATCATCGAGTAGGAATACTCCATGGGACATGGACATGGACATGTTTGGAAGCAGAAAAGAATTTCTTTTCTTATGAAAATTTTGAATATTATTAGAAAATTACATTGTGTGTTTTAGCCATAATCATTAAATTTAGAGGCAAAAAGTACACATTTTGGAATTAATAAAAATATTTTTAATTATTTTATTTATTTGGATGCTTTTACATGTGTTGTCCCCTGTTTTCCACTCAGAATACATCGAACAGATCAAGTCTGGAGAGGAGAAATTTGAAAGCTTAGCCTCTCAGTTCAGTGACTGCAGCTCAGCGAAAAACGGTGGAGATCTTGGAGTATTTGGCAGAGGTGAAACCTTTAATGGCCCCAAAAAAAGAATACATGATTCATTTGTTTTGATACGTGGAAAACTGTTTTCTTTCTCTAATGCACTGAGTGTCTCTGTATGCTTTAGGTCAAATGCAAAAGCCTTTTGAAGACGCCTCCTTTGCTCTTAAAGTCGGAGACATGAGTGGCCCCGTTTTTACCGACTCTGGAGTTCACATCATCTTGCGCACTGGCTGAAAAGGGAGACATCAAATTCTCTCTCCCTCTCTATAACCACATGCATTCACTGAAACTAACCCAAGCAGGCTTGCCATTTGTTTAAACTGCAGTCATCGCCCCACTACGTCAATCATACAACCTGCACTGATATTTTAGATGGGATTATTTGTTCCATCTCTTAAGAAGAGGTGTGATTATTAAAATTACTCTGAACATAAAAGACTTTTCCTGAAGACTTTTAAGCTTTTATCTAATAGCAACACTATGATGGAATGAACAGTGCCTGGTGTGGGGCTGAGCCCCTATAAGCAGATGCAAGACGAACTTGTAACCTACATGTGCATGTCTTCAAGATGAACCATTTATTGTTAGATTTTGTTTCTTTCTTCTCCATTACTGTTCTGTGCCAAAGCAGTTCCTATATCTGAACAAGGCTTTCCTGAATTATAAGTAGGATGTTTCAAATGTGCTTAAGATGTCACACATTGCTGTATATGGAGAATAAGATGTTATTTGGGTTTTTTTCTGCACATTCTGGACTTTCTTCCACATTCTAAAGCTAACAATTTGTTAATCTAAAATAATACATTAGAAAGTCCATGTTTAATTTAAAAATGGCATTGAAAGCTTGTAGGTTTTAACTTGGGGTCCCACAGCTTTTATAAGCATCAATATTCATATTATTTGTTGACACTGTAACTGGGAAATAAACTATAAATACAACAGTTTCTTTGTCATTTGTTGTTGCCTTACTTTTTTTTTTAAAGCTTCCAGCTTGTTACTTTAAATCTACTTATACCCTAACAAATTCAGACATCCCAAGTCTCCCGGAAGTTCGAGGGTCTCCCTGATATAGATAGTTGTTCACGGATGCCTGCAAGTCCGATAAATTATCCCGGACTTTAGACTATGCAAGGTGGTGTTTTTTTGTTTTTTTATGCGAGTGAAAGTGAGCAGGCAGTACAATAATTCATGCATCATGTGCGTACTAGAACTACTGCGATTGCACTGACGAGAGTGTGGGGAGGAGGTTGTTTGTGAAACCTGTGCATATCTGTCCAAAGCGATGCTCTGTTCAACGAGCGTTCCAGGCGACTGGTCGTCAGAGAGCGCTCTGATTGAATTTGTCAGAAAAATAAGCCAAGTCAGTCAAGAGTTCTTTTATCAGGAAAGTGCCTATTTTGTAGGGCAGGATTTGGGAGCAATCTGTCTATGGCAGATCTGAATAATTTTAATTCTTTGCTGAGCTCATGCCCTCCATGGTCTTTGTGATTGTGGCAGGCTTTCAGGTATATTGTTTTTATGTAATAATGGTTTTTAAAACAATGTGGCACATGTACCATATATGAAATAGTAACAATGAAGGTCAGATATTGGTGTTCAACCAATTCAGGCCTGGTCAAGAATGATGGTTTCCTTAATATTTTGTTGCACAACCTTTTGAGGCCATCATTTGGAATAAATCCTGAAACTGTCAATGATACTTCTGCTCCTCTCAGCAGGTATTCTGGTCCACTACTAGTTTTCTGAGGTTTGAAGGGTGCCTGATGGAAGGTTTTAGCTCCTTCCAAAGATGCTCCAAAAGATTCAGATCAGGGCTCCTAGAAGATCTCACTGATTAAATCTAAAAAATCTGTTGAAACATCAATAAAGATTTTGGTTCACCCAGGTAAAGTATACAACGTGTAATTATGAAGGTAATATTGTTTCCAACAGTGTAGTAGATAAAAAAAAAATAATAATCGGGTCAGCTCAAAATGACTTTATTGGTTCCAAAGGGAAAAGTGGAAATTGTAACAGTTAATTATTAACATTTATGTAAAGTACAATTACAGATGTTTACAATTAAAAAAAGCATGAAATCAAATCTGTAAAATTATGGATTATAGAAATTAAATCAATCGACTTTGTATAAAGATAATGAATTATAGTGCTACATAAAGTAGTAAGGTCAATGAATTAACTGATGAAGTCCAGTTTTTTTACTGAGGAGCAGGTTTATACTTGTCGCATCTGTCTCCAGTGAGGTAGGAATCACACTTCAGAGAGTATTTCACCTCTACGTTTCCCTTCCCAGAGCAGGTGAAAGAGCGGCTCCCCTGGCTCAGTTGCTTGGTGCACGAAATGATACGGTCATCTTTTGCAGGGTCCTGGTCCCAAACCTCAATTTTTAGGTCTATTTGTGTGTCCACCTATAAAATAATTTGTTAAATGTAGTTAATGAAGCGTTCCACTTTGGGTTTTCTTTTTTATTTCCAGTGTTAATTAAAAAAAAAAAAAAAAATGGATATGATTCTGATCAAAAAACTATTTTAGACTTTGAACGGTTTATTTAAGAGTTACTGTTTTTCACTTTGGGCCAAAATGACCACTTGCTGTAATCTAAACTTTTTCCCCCTGAGGGAGGAAAGTCACTTTTTTCACTTAGGAGGGTCCCTTTCTGTCCTTTTTAATATCTTCACCTTCAAACTAGGTCAGAAGGCAGAAAACATGCTGGTCTAACTTTGTTTAAGGCATAGAGAGTTTTAGTTGAATGGTGTTGCCATGGAGACCTGGCAAAGTGATGCGTTTCGCCATGAACATACTTTTGGCTCTCATCTCCTGATAGATCCTTCAGTCTGCACCAAATTTTCTATGATGGAACCTGTTTAAGCCCACACAGGAATCTAGGCCAATAATTGGTAGGCGTGGCTTACTTTCTCTACAGCGCCCCCTAGAATGACTAAAATGACCAGCCCCAAGCGAAGGCCTATTGTATAATAATAATAATACATTTTATTTAACAGTGCCTTTCTGGACACTCAAGGTCACTTTACAGACATTAAAAATGAAAATACAAAAATTCAAATACAGGAACATAAAAACAGTTACGGGGAAGGACAAGAGCAGTGTATTTACAAAAATAAGTGAGCTGGTATCTGTAGCGTGTATTGTTATTATTAATGTTATTATTAGGCCAGAGCAGCAAAGCGCTGCGTAGGCCTATTGTAATTGTAAGGTTTCTTATTATTTTTCTTTTGGCAGTTTGAATGGATTTGAGGGGGGCTTAACATACATGAAGAGTCATGAAACTTGAAACTTGAAATCGCATAATTTTAATGGAATAAGAAATGGCCGTCATCAAATGACTCCACAGCGCCCCCTGAAGTGAGTTGGGTAAAAACGTAAGTCAAGAAGAGTCTCAGCTAATCTAAAATGAGCAATTATACTTACATGGCCCAAATTATACACAGCATTCCAAGTTGGATTGTTTGATTTGATTGTGCTGGTCTGGTGGTATATGGAGCCATACCACATCTTAACAAAACTGAGAACAGAAAGAAAGAAAACAAGATATCAAAAAACTGCTTTTATGAATGGCAGAAAGATCTCAATTTTTGTACTGTGCATCAACTCACGCTTTAGTTTTCACAACTGGATCTCCTTTGAGATCCCAGCCTCGGACAATGGTCACAGACAGGGTCCCCTTTGAGGCCTCCCTTGGACAGCAGTTGGTGCCCAGGTTGGGAACACCAGAACAGGTTGGTTCTTTAGGTGAGACCTTCATAGCATTGCTCTCCAAATATTGCTCAATAGCAACCTTCATCCCTGTCTTTTGTGAGCTGCTTGGCATTAGCTCATAAAGTGGGCGGAGGGAGTACCAAACAACATCTGGATCATTTTTTAGGCTTTTCATCCAAGTTGAGAAGCCAGTAGAATCGTTTTTAGAAATTGAAAACTCCCCCAACCAACCCTTTCCTCCTGATACTTCAGTGTAGTGTATGTGGAGACCGGAGCTGTATTGGGTGGAAGAGTCATGGTTTTCTAGAACATTTTTGCAAGAACTAGAGACACTAGAAAGTGAAATCTTCCCAAGGCCGACAGAAATACCCCTTGATAAACAGGAGTGGACCTGAATAACAAAAGGAAAAATGATATAATTAATATTCACCGCAAATATTGTGGAATGCAAATGTTGTTTTCTATTTCTATCTTTTATAATTTTTAGGTTGAAAAGGCAGATTGTGTATTATTTGCACACATTCAATGTTTTATCACAATGGCTTACAAACTGGAATAAATTTGATATTCTTAAATGTGAAATTTTCTACCTCATCTGAGGTCAGGCCATTAAGGGAGGACAAACACGTGCGTGAAGACGTCACTCTTCTAATTCGGCCCCCAAGATCCACCTGATACAAAGTTTTATGTTTGTCTAAAAAGTTTTCCTTCTATATTTGTGAATTAAAGGAGTTCTTTGCTTCTGAGTTCTCACCTGTCTGATGTAGTGTGTGCCGTAGATGTTCAGGACATCCTTGTACGCAGCAGCAGTGGTGGAGTCAAAGCGACTTGGCAGTCTGCTTAAGTGGGATTTAAATTCTGGGCTGAGGGATGGAGTGCTTGACACACGGAAACTAAACACCAAGAGAAAGTTAGACCATTAGACCATTATCCATTTTAATGAATACGACCTCTGAATGTAAAGTTTATTCTACCGTTTATTCTACCGTTTATTCTAAAGTGCGCATGCGCTGAGTGGACGCTGGCGCGTTTTTGCAGCCGCTGCTCTCCGCTACCTGTTTTTAAGTATTTTTCAACGTTTTTACGACACTTTGGGCCGTGTACTCACATTCAAGTGAGAGCAAAGACACTTGCCTTCGCTTTGATCATCCTAACTCCCGCTGCCATCCCGTTGTTTTTGTGTCTGAGTGTGTTTAACTAACCTCACTCTCCAACTGTTCTCCTGACTCGACGCCGTTGCTGCTGTTGGTTAGCCACCCGCTGCCGTTAACAATGTCAACCTCCAAGTTCTACATCTGGTGTATCCTCCTCTGGACTGTCCTCTCCATTCTACACCGACCTGGGGCTGGTCTGTTCCAGTATTCGGCTGCTGATCTCCTCCTGCTCCGTGGGCTTCTGTCTGCGCCTCCACCGCCAGTTCTCCAGCTACACCCGGAGATCATGCTCCTTCCCCGCCGGAGATACATCCACCGCGGATCCCGTCGGAATTTCCACATCGATGACTCCAATCCAATACCATCATTCTGGTCCACTTCACGCCGCTCTCGCCGATATCCCGGTCGGACCGCTGACTTCAGTTCGCTTGCTAGCCTGGCTAAGGCAGCAAGCCCCGCCTCCGGTCATATCAACTCTCCTGTCAACTTTGGACTCCTGAATATCCGCTCTCTCACAAACAAGGGTCAGCTCATCCAGGATCTCATCAATGACCGTAAGCTGGACTTCCTCTGCCTCACGGAGACGTGGCAACAACCTAAAGACTTCTCCCAGCTCAACGCCTCCTCTCCACCTGGGTTTGTTTACCACTCTCTTCCTCGTGTTTCCGGTCGCGGGGGAGGTCTCGCGTTACTTCATCGCGAGAAGTGGAAGTTGTTGCCTGTTTCTATTCCTGTTTTCCGCTCTATGGAATGCTTTGCATTTGAACTGCCTGGCCCTACTCCAATATTTATTTCCATAGTCTACCGTCCCCCCAAACCACATAGTGACTTTTTAAACGAATTATCCATACTACTTACCCACCTGACTACTCTCTCTCCTAATGTCATTCTCCTCGGTGATTTCAATATCCATATGGACAATGTAAACCTTTCACTCACCAGAGACTTTTCCTCCTGCCTGGACAGTTCTGGATTCCATCAGTATGTTGATTTTCCCACCCATATAAAAGGACATTCACTGGACTTGATTTGCTGCTCTGGTTTAATCCCATCTAACTGTTCTGCTGATG